ACACTTACTCTGCTTGTATATTTTCCTGTCAAACTAGACTCAGATGCATGGGAATACTTAAGTGGGAGCAAAATAATAAAAGCATTGCAATACGGTACTTAGCCCATGTTATGCTTTGCGCAAGTGATACTAGCTGACCTTATCTAATATTCATGAACTCAAGGTAAGTCACAACTGCATAAATTTGGTTATTTATCTATTCCACATTTTGACTAAATTCATCACTATTGTTTTCATTTAGAATGCAACAGGAGTGAGCCTTCACAGACCCTAGAAACTGTTTCGCCCTTGAAACTATGGCCCTATGGAACTGTTTACGGGAGACCCAACGAACAGCAGATTATAAAAAGGATGCTGGACGTCCATTTTAGTCTCACAACCACTTCCAATATTTTTTTGACTTTTTTACTCTTTCGTTTGGAAAAAAATAACAAAAACTGCAGAATAACATTACCAATACAACTTTTAAACGGGAACTTGGTTTAAACCTTTGTTTGATATTCGATTCTTAATGAAATTTCTCGCATAAATTTTTGAATCTAATGCTACTTTGTCTTATCTACTTAATCGTCGCAAGAAACTTGTCACAAGCGAGTCTCTCAGCACCTAGTTCATGTGTTCAAATGGTTGTGGACGGAATGGAAGGAGGTTTCGCTTAACAGGCTTCCGTGTCTAGTAGCAAGGGGGTCACCAAAACCTCCAGGCAGGAACCTAGGTATGTTAACAATAAAAGAGAAATTGGTAAATCATAGTATGATACTATCCTTAATCCTTAAGAACAAATCCACTTGCCTCTTAAAGGACTCCTGGGAAGTCGCTTGGACTAGCTCAGTCGTCAGACAATTTCAGCATTTGACAACTTCCAAAGAGTAAGAGTTGTGTCTCCAATTTATGGGTGTTGCCCCTTAGGTTGGTATTGGGACTAAACTTAAGCAGGTTTTTTAGGGATGTCCATAAGTGTTAAAGTTATTGTAAGCCATTAGGTCACCTCTAAGACGTCTATACTATGAGTAGAGGTCAAGTGATTGGAGGCGCTCTTCATAAGGTGATTTGGTGCATATCTTCATCATTTTCTTGGGAGACCTACAGACTCGGTTCCTCTCACAACTTATTCTAACCACCATGTGTTGTCACGGCAGCTGATGGATGGATACGCGTTACACATCCTAACCGTACCTGCGTCTTATCTTATAGCTTCTAATTCAAATGCCATATGACAAGCAAGCAATGCCCCTACCCGCACTAATGGAACACTAGTAACTCAAATGCACCCCGTATGGTACCTTGCACTGGTTTACGCACTCGCTTAGCTCTTCAGTGAGAATATTAATACGGTCCTGCTGAAAATCCCATGAACCCCCTACCTCCATCAAAACAAATAAGTCTGTATTTGCTGCATATAGCTATTTTATTATTCAAAAGTAAGATATAACAGTTAGAATTGGAGTAAAATGGCAGTATATAGCAGATACATGTGGTACATGTCTTCATCGATTAACTGAAATAGAGAATACGGATATCAGCTTAACAGGCTTATTTAGAAAGACTAGTGTCTAATTTGAACTTACTGTGTGAGAAAGTTATACTGGAACTACGAATGCTGTAGAAATAGAGTTTCTCGGGGCGTACGAAGCACTCAGACTGTAAGACAGTTGTCCAAAAATAATTCGAATATGAAGGTGAAAATTTGCAGGTACTTTTCATCGTAAGGGTGGACGTATTAGGTACCAGTTGACATCATACCGTAAGAAAACGCATATTTGCAAGTGGTGAAATATGATCTATAAAAAAGTGAGCTTAATAACAGTTAATTACCTTTTTACTCCCTGATCATGACCCTTCGGCTTCCTTTTATGGCCAAAACAGCAAACATACACTAGACATTGGTAGCAGATTTCCGGCTTCTCAATGTTAAGCTTGCTTTAACGCACTGCGTAATGAGTACAACCCCTCTATTACTGCCATATGGCATATTTTTCATAACAAACCCTCTGCAACAGATTGGTAGCATCTGTGACTTTATCTATAGTTGTCGGAAGTCTGGGTCCTTTCGAAATCAATACCGATACACACTACTGCTGGGCACTCTGTATTAGTTTGACTCGTTGGTGGGATAGTGTTGTCCATAATACTAAAGAAAATTTAAAAAACGCAGATTGTATACTTTCATTTTGCCGATAACATCATAAAGGACAGTCAGGAACGAACATGCGAACAGTAAGAGTCACAGACGGCAGCAACAATTATTTTAGCTAAATAAAAACGAACTTCGGTTTGGGATATCTAGAAAACAAGGTAAAACATAACCGATTGACGTTTAAAAACGTAAGGTCTTATGTTAGTACTAGCCAGCTTAGCTGAATAAATACAGTGACTTCAGTAGCAGCAGGTAAAACCCAGAAAACAAAGCAAAGTCAGGAAAAATTTTGCTCCAACGTTCAGAGCATTACATTAACTTCTGGATTTTAGCACACTGAAACATCAAATTCTGTAGCTGCACAAAAGAAATAGCGGAAAAACACAGAACGAAGAAAGCCGGCCGACATTTTATAACACAAGACTAGCCGGATTGCCCGAAGAAATACATTGACTTGAGTAGAAGCAGCAAAAACCCAGAAAACATCGCTGATTCGAAATAAACTTCACACCAACATATAGAACATTACACTAACTGCGGCATTTTAGCACACTGAGACATTAGATTACATAGCTTCACAAAAGAAATAGCTGAAAGAAGCACAGAACGAAGAAAGCCGACCGCCATTGCTTACAAAGATGGCGGATGTAATAATTCCCGCCTCATTCTGATTCTTTGCTTAGTCAAAGGGCACATTTATGAAATTGAGTTGCGTTTAATTGCAACCCGCAAATATAGGAAACTATCGAGAATTCACAGCAAGCCATAGCCTCTATCCCCGGGTAAATACCATCGTGGTACGGCTTTAAGGTTTATAACTTGGCAAGCGATCACTCACTACGTTGGTCGCAAACAAGGTCACCATATTCGGCTGATCCCCAATATGATGTGCATACAGCTGGCAAGTTTTTGTCCAAAAGTTGACTCACATCTCCTAGGCGGGGTAGGGAGGATTGCTACCCGTACAAGTTCAAAAGTGTGGGGCTTACCATATGAAGTGTTTCTCAAAAAAAACCATACATCCTCAGCTATCTATGAAATAAGTGGTTGTATATCACCAGCGTGGACGGCGAGGTCTGTTCAATTCAGTATATATTGTTATGACCCCTTTCAATCACGTACAAGTCCGCTCCAACAGGTGTTTATAACCCGGCTCCTCCCACCACGATGTCCAGGTGAATCAGCTACCTGAGTGACTAGTTATAACAAACAACCGTATAACCTCATGCCACGTAAAGTGACTAAAGAAGTTAAGAGTATAGGTACTGCTGAATTACCCAGTCCGATTATTCAAAACTAGCTGTCCTTGACACTGGCAACGCTTGCTAGATTGTCCAACAGCTAGTGATCTTTCGTCTAACTCAGAAATGATTCAGCTGGAAGGAAAGTCTCGTTAGGATTCAGTCACAGTTTGCCAGCCCTACGAGATAGGTTGATTTTAATTGATAGAATACAAATACAAGGTATTGCATTTGCTGCATCCTCCCTTATTTCAACTATATCATGACTGCTTAGATGACATATTTGAGGCACAAAAGAAACCCCATAGATATATACTTTCTCGTTGATCAATTAAATCTCATGGCGTACTGCTCGAAGAGATACTGTACACAGCTTCATTTGAGACAACCGTGAGATTGAGCACATACAGTAGCTTATTAGGAGAGAACTTGTGAACAACTCCGGTATTTGGCCTTCGATACGGTTACGTCCAAGTTTTTGCTCGTTCCCGTTGTTGAAGTACGGTATATAGATCTATTTGCAATTTACGAACCCAAATTGACAATAGAACAAAACTCCAATTTAGGTACCAAGGTTTATTCGCAATTTACAAGTAGTCGAACTACATGTCGTTTTTCGATTTTGTATGTTCCCGGAGTAAAACTCCCAAATACCAAATCAAAGACAAAGAGAAACAAAAATGTCCGAAATAATGATATAAACAAACAAGTTCAGAAGTTGAGTAAAACAAATACACCCAAAAAGCATGGTGAAATTATTAATATACAATATAAAGGTTGTAAGCTGCCAAATGTCTTCAGTTCTCCCGTAACAAATACAAGAATGTATTCACCTGCAATTCAATCCTTGTTTGAACCTATTCATTAGTTTCATAATTTGTATATTTTAAACCCCAATCAGTTGATTCCTGGATGACATAGTTCACTAACCTGAGACAAAACCATTCACCGATACCTAAAAACTGTCAATATTCAAGTGGCCTTCAACTCCACTACGACCGGTGCAACTGAGTGACGAGACTATGCATATGGGATGAGACTGGAGACATCGAAACTTAATTTAATGACAAGGTGCTAGCGCACGGAAGTACATCAGAGATCAGGATCAACTACACTTCCGCCCTTAATTTTGATCTTGCACTCGGGAACCAACCAAAATGAATCGGGAATTCTCATTCACACTATCGCAATCCATGATGGTGTGTTTCATTCTCTGTCGTTTTTGCCTGCCCATGTGTGGACGTAAGGTGTCTTGAGACGAAATCATCACTCCATCGTGTTGCGGCCGTGTCAAGTGCAACGTACTTAGTCATGATGGAAGGAAATTCACAACAACGCAAATGTCATATCTTCCATGATAGTTATGGCAAAGTTTCTACAGTTCGGTGTCTGACTAAACAAAAAAACAACTGTGTTTACTAGATACGATACATTTAAATGATTTGAAAACGTTTACTTTAACTCCAAGCATACATCATTTCGTGTACGTTCGTCAAATGGATGTTGGATAATGTATGGCGCGTGCTTCGAAGTTGATTTTACAGTTGGTCGTTCATATGGGTAGATTCGACCGGTGAACGGCCTTTGAGTAATGGTAAAGTGACCTCGAAAAAGCTACACTAATGGTAAGGAGTAAAATTGTTGAGCGCGTTAACGTCGAGAATTGTCCCTAAATTTTCATCAGGCTTGTTGGGTTAGGGTCCGGTAAACCCTGGGCATGGATGCAGTATGCTTGACCCGATTTTATTAACCTATGCCATAGGTGGCGTTAACTAAACAAAGGGTGAGAAGCGCAATCTGTAAGTAAAAAACATGTCGGTTTGGAGTACTTGATCACAAATATCTTCAAGACATTAGGCTCATACAATGGAACAGCCAAATAAAGATTTCTGAGACTGGCCTCGACGTTCTGAGAAAACATAGCGAGTCGATTGGTTTTGTGAGGAATTTTCGTCAACCAAGATGGTTAGGATATGTGTTACGTTTGTCCAAAGTGTAAATAGATCTGCAGAATAGTAGGAGCTGCCAAACCAAGACATGGCATCATTCCATCAAGTAATTGACCGTTCATTAGCCGTGTTGGTACATGAATACTATTTGGTTGGGGTTTGCGCAGTCACTTGTTGAAAATGTCGGATGACATGACTTGGAATCGGTCACAACAGCGTAGGTAGACCTATTCTTTGTCTTCCAGTATTATTTTCACAAATCTTGTTTCGCGAAATTAGCCACGTCCTAACCTCATTCTTATACGTCTGGTATTTTGTTTCATGTGGTGCTGTTATTGTTTTTTATTCTTTTGCTATCTTTATGGTTCATTTTGTCCATTGATATTGTAGTAGGGAAACTCATAATGACGAACATTTGGTACTCACAAATCGATTATATTTTATCAAAAATAACCGAATTCTTGTTCATAGTGAAAACTAAAAAAACAGTTCTCTTTAAAGATTATCTCAGCATAAAATAATACTCATTTTTTACTTAACCGAAGGGCATATTTAGTTTTATCTGTAGTTGCAGGAATTTTTAAGGCAGTGACTACCTTTTGCAGATCCCAAGCATGACAAAGAATATGATAAAACTGATGAACTGAAGACATGTAGTGGTCAAGATTACTGGTATGTAATGAAAACCATTCGGTTGTTTTACATTTAGCTACTGTCTGGGTAGCTGCATAAGTGCTGGTGGGGGTGTGAGTGATGAGATCAATGCACGAATAGTGAAAGCCAGAGCGGCTTATGCCAATCTGGGCCACCTTTGGCGCCTTCGTGATGTTAGTCTGGCTGTGAAAGGCCGGATCTACAACGCGTCGGTGAGAGCAGTTTTGCTCTATGCTTGTGAAACCTGGCCTCTCCGAGTTGAGGACGTTAGACGACTCTCTGTGTTCGATCATCGCTGTCTCCGAAGGATTGCTGACATTCAGTGGCAACACCATGTCAGTAATGCAGAGGTTCGGCATCGTGTGTTCGGGCACAGAGATGATAATTCAATTGGTGTCACCATCTTGAAACACCGACTTCGGTGGCTTGGACATGTTCTCCGAATGTCGTCCCAGAGAATTCCACGTCGTGCATTATTTGCCGACTCTGGGACTGGTTGGAAGAAGCGGAGGGGTGGTCAGTGCATGACATGGTGCCGTGGCATGAAAGAAAGCTGCAAAGGACTGGCTTGTGTTGGTCCTTCACGACTCCCTGGCTGGGGTCCGAGAGATGGTGCTACACAGTGGCTAGAGACGTTATCAGATATGGCTCAGAATAGAAGCCAGTGGCGATCCTGCTGTAACCTTCTTTTACTTTCTTCATAAAAAGTGGTTGTGTCTCCTTTACCTGAAAGATTTCTTCTGATTGTACCTTTTCGTTCCGTCGTTACTACCACACTACCTTACTCCAATCTCTTCGTCATTGTTCTCTTTTTCTTTTGCGTTCCTTAGTTTTTTTCTTCTTTCTACTTCTCTTCGAATTCCCATTGTTTTGTGTGGCGCATATATATTGGCGCTCTATTGTACCAATATTTATGTGTTCAAATAATAATAATAATAAGTAACTCTTGAAATTATTTATGGAAATGTCATCTTTAGACAAGTAGGATAATTTGAAGTCCTACTCTTCAGTGTCATTGCTACGAGTGGTGTTGATATTTATACACATACTTTCGGCGATTCTTTTTCGATAGTAGATTTATTGTATCGGGAAAAAGTTTATATACATACGGGAACCTAAAAACTTTTACTGAGAATATTTAGTACAGGTTTGGGTCTTCAAACTATGGATTTTGTACACCTAAGCAAAGTCCATGAGCATAGATTGAATTGTTTGTGTTTGCCAGCTTTCGACTGACCATTTATATCATTTCTTGTTAAATTAGTAATTGACGAAGTTTGCACAAAACAGCTAGAAACGTGGTCACTGTTCCAAGTCTAACGTATTTACAACACTAAACTATTTGTTTGGCTTCTGTGATTGGTCTTTAAGACATTAAATCTTGTCAGCACTTAACCAAGTAGGTATCTATCACCGACGGTAGAGTTTTCATACATCACATTAAGCGACCTGGTTCTTTTGTGCTTACTACAGGAAGAATTTTATTCTTGTTAACTAAAAGATAATGAAAAATTGTGAGGTTCTACTTTAGATTCACAATACAGCTGTCATTACAATTGATTGGACTTGGAATTCCCGATAATTTTATTTTAGTGTTTTGCTTATTGGATTTTCTCCAATCTCAGTAAAACAGTTCATACTTGAGAATTGTAGTGTGCTTACTACTTTAACTCATGGAGGAACAGTGTATCGCCCCTAGTTGGTTAAAATACACCATATAACGTTTCAGATGTCCATCCTAAGAGACGATTGTCTTAACAATCATCGCTCCTTATTAGCTTATCTCAGAAACAAAACTGATTCGGAGACCGTAAGTTTCACTAGGGGCTCACTGTCATATTCAGAATAGTTGCAGAAGAATGAATCCATAATTTCTTTGACTGATCGCTACTGACTGGTTTTAAAGTTAAAAATTACCGTTAGTAGGTCGGTCAGTCATAACTTAGAACCTGTAAGTATGTACATCGGTTCAAGTTGGTGTACCCCATAAGCACAGAGCGATTGAGTTGTCGGACCAAATCCTAGAATAGCATAGGTAGTAACAGTTTCAGTGATAATAGTAAGAGTTAGACATCAAAGATGTGTCTTAAAAAGGAGAAATACAAACAAAAAAGTCATGAGTAATTTAGGACCTCAAAATCCGACGTAAGACGAAGAGTAAATGCACATGCGCCATTCCAAAGGATTTTAATCAATGTCATTCAGAGTTTGACCATTGGTCACAATAATTACGCGGACCCCAACCAGGTAATCTATACCTACTAACATGGCTAAGTTCAGTTGTCAGTGACTTCACTGACTGATTCTATCTTTTGGTTTGACCACTCTTAGCTGTCGTCCAGCCTACTTGTGCACCAGAAAAAACCGCCCATCAAGACAGGTGGTGGTTGAGTATACGTAACACATCCAAACCACCTCAGTTGATGAAGACCTACTACCTCATCAATCGATTTCCAATCCTTATATCTAGTACTTTATTCCGAAGCCCGACATTGCTTGCTTCGTCGTCCTAAAATTCACGAGTAATGTTTCGTTGATACCTAAAATCGAGTGACAGTAACCTACGAATATCCGCTATTCTTAATGACCATGTTTCACATCCAGCAAGTTGGACGGAGTGAACTGCTACTCAGTAAGGTTGCCCTTTGGATGTAAGACGGATATTTCGACTATGTCATGACTGACGCAAGTTGGCAAAAGCCAATCGAAACTTCAGAATCCATGTCGAGATTTCGTCATACACCTAAATGCCCTGGTATGGCTGAGTGGGGAGAGTCCGTTCTCCCTCTCGAAATGCTCTCACATGGCCATGCGTATATAGCCTCTTCCATGGTAGTCGGAAAACCCTAATTTCAAGCCAATGGTGCACATGGGCTCCAGTATCCTGAGTGAACAAATGGTGTATAAACCAATCGTTGGTCACCGGCTATCATGGGATCGCATCTCCTTACGATGCTCCACTGTTTTGTGGATCAGACCTGTAGGTTGAAGGCTCCGAGTGTGGCCCCCCAAGGAAACCACGTGCTTCAGCTTGGGCACTCGGGCAGTATCACAGCCCTCACACAAATCAAATGAGATTTGTGTGGCGCATATGTATTTGGTGCCTCATTGTACCAATATCTATGTGTTCAAATAAATAATAATAAAGTCTCTCTAATCGCATTAAAGTACAGATTATTCTCACTATTTACATGGTGTAATTTCGCCGTACGTGTTTCAGTCAGTTAACAAGAAATCACTTGTTGAACGAATAGTTCGAGATTGATTCCGAAAATTTTATTGTGAAGGTATTGATGCTGATATGGGACATAAACGTCTGTTGGCATGAGAAAATAGTTATATTTTTTATGTAAGTGGAATAATGTAAATCAACTAGGGAGTCGGGGGGAATCATTGTTGTTTACTTTACAGCTGCCCTGTATTTTAGCGCATTTGAAGAATCTGGAATTTTGAATAAGTAAATTCTAAGTGAACACGCGTCAAATTGAAGAACTGTATGAATATACTTGATATATAAGTATTCTAAGTTTACGTCTATATTGCCACTATCATTTTCACAATCGAACTAAGCCTCATGTTGGTAAATACCTTTATTCCACAAATATGTAGAATAATGTTATAAAGAGGAATTACATTGCGTACTTATTACTTTGGTAATAATAACCAGCTATTCGATGCAATTATAACTAAACTGTCACGATTAATTTTTGCTTGCCACCCTCCAAGGGATTCTTACCAACTATTGTTTTGTAATTTATAGCAAGAAAATATCTAGTCGCTAAACTTTCGAAGTGGAGATATAAATTGTTATAACCCAATGCACTTTATACGTATAGCATTCAATAAAGCAATGCGTTTCAGCGAACCCTTAATCTTTTGTTTCCTGTAAAATTGCTGGTTTGTAAACAGATGAACATCTAAATAACTGGTTGGTTTACTAGCTTGCTTCTCCATTTCACGATGGTATGTAGATCTGAATAAGCCATATAAAGTGTCTTATTTCTTGCCTTATCTTTCACTTTGGTTTAATGAACATCAATGATTGTTCAACATTGAAGCTGTCTCATTTTCCGACAAAAATTTCTGCATATCGTGGTTTTTCTATCTGTGACTCCATCTATACAACATTATTGAGAGTTCGTAGGATTGCTTAGAAAATTAAGTTCTTTTGTTTCGCTTCAAGTTGCTTTTGAGTTTAGTTATTGCATTAAGCTGTTTCCGTTCTTGTAGGAGCGTAGCAAAGTCTGAGCGTTATTTTGACTTACAGTACCATCGTGTTTTACTACTAGGTTACGGGTTGCGGCAATTACATACTTGCAAACTAAAGGTTAGCATTATATTATTTAATATAATCTCGTAAGTATAAAATCGTTTAATAATTTTACACATTCTAACTTTATCCTTTGTTTTACCTCCATAAAGAGTCATATCCAGAAATTTAATTATTGGCCACGTTATGTAGCTCGTTTGATCAGGTTCCGTCCTGTTTATCGAAAAGAACTTCTAGGTTGGCGTTTTGAAACGGATCATATGTTTCAACGGCCCAATCCTCTACCAAATGAAGTATGTATTCATTTGTTGTTGATGAAAATTTATTGGGTTAATTTTTGGGAATTAACATTATTCACTTCCATCATACTGTCTGGCTCCATGTGCTGGCGTTATTTTATTGTTGAGTTTTTGTGGTAGCGTTGCCGAACTCAATGTTTCAACATTACAGTAAACTGTATCGTGTATCGTGTAGTTGAGTTCAACTAGTAGAAAGCCTATGGTTTACATTCAGTGCTACTTAATACTCGTTATCTGGAAACTTAATTGAAATTTTACCTTATCGTTTATAACACGAAGTTATGTTGTACAATAGTGCGCTGTTATTGCAAAGTAGGAATGTGATTCAAATAGTAGTTTAGTAAAAAAAACACGAAGTTAGGTGTTTATACAAAACAGGAAATACAATTTGAAGTACTGTAGTTCATCTAAAACGCAAAAGTCCACTATATCAGCGTTGAAAATATTGAACTAACTTTAATATGTTTTTTCCAACTAACACTAAAGGTGGGTAACTGAGGCATTTCTATTTTGAATCCCAGTGTTTGATAAGAGGGTTGTATATAGAGAAATTTATATGTAAAACCATCGAGATCGCTTCAGGTATATATTATACTGTACAGCCTCAATAATTATCGGATACCTAAAAAAGACTCGTGAACTGCAAACACGAAAAAACCAGGCTGGCTTCAGACGTGGTCGTGGTTGCATCGACCATATATTCACTATTCGTCAGGTTCTAGAACACAGGCATGCTCATCGGTGTCCGACAATGGTGGTCTTTCTTGGCTTAAAAGCAGCATTTGACTCGGTAAACCGCGAGATTCTGTGGCAGTGTCTGTCATTGAAAGACGTACCCCAGAAGTACATAAACCTTGTGAAGGCTCTTTACTCGAACACTACTATTCGAGTCAGAGCTTATGGCGAACTGTCATCTACTTTTGCAACCTCAAGTGGTGTCCGTCAAGGCTGTCTACTTTCTTCAATTTTGTTTAACTTCATCATAGACCTACTGATGGAAATAACGCTTTCATCGACTGAATTTTCAGTTATTGATCTCCTACCGGGAGGTCCACTTATCGACTTAGAATACGCAGATGACATAGTCCTGTTTGGTGAAGACGCTGACAAAATGCAGAGACTTTTGGCAGCACTAAGCAACAATACCAGAATGTTTGGAATGCGCTTCTCTCCCTCTAAATGCAAGTTGTTGCTTCAGGACTGGCCTGCATCAACACCTGAACTAAGGATAAGGAGTGAAGTTATTTATTTATTTATTACGTCACAAAACCAACTCAGGTAGTAGATAGTTCATTGACGTCATCTACAATAAGGCTTCTAAATTTATTTGTTTGAACACATTTAAACGCATTTCGAGGAGAGCGGACTCTCCTCACTCTCGGCCGCACCAGGACGTAGGGAATGAAGCACTCGAACGCGTTGACAGCGTCACTTATCTTGGAAGTCTGATCAGCCCTAATGTGCTGGTATCGGACGAAATCTCAGCACGGATTCGAAAAGCTCGTTTGGCTTTTGCCAACTTGCGTCACCTATGGCGAAGGCGAGATATCCGTCTATCAATAAAAGGACGAGTATACTGCGCGGCAGTCCGCTCTGTTTTACTTTACGGCAGCGAAACGTGGCCTTTAAGAGTAGAAGACACCCGTAAGTAACTAGTATTTGACCACAGATGCCTTAGAAATATTGCTGGCGTCTGTTGGGATCACCGGGTAAGTAATAGTGAGGTTAGACGCAGGGTATTAGGTAATGATGGTAAAGCAGTTGATGAGGTTGTGAATCTTCATCGACTGAGATGGTTGGGCCACGTGTTACGTATGCCTGAACACCGATTACCACGTCATGCAATGCTAACGGGTGTTAGAGATGGTTGGAAGAAAATTAGGGGCGGCCAAACCAAAACGTGGCATCAGTGCTTGAAGACATTAACCTCTAGTCTGAGCCATGTTAGTAGATGCAAACTACTTGGTTGGGGTCTGCGTGACTTTCGTAACCGATGATTGGAGACTCTTGGTGCCATGGCTCAGAACCGATCGTAGTGGCGTAGGTGTATACACTCTTTGTCTTCCCATAAACTATGAGATTAAGGTCGCCCCATATCTTTCTTTCTATGAGCTAATTCTTTCTTCCTGTACTGTATCCTTATATGCAATCTTTCTTCTATTTATTACCACCTTTGACCTAACCAGTCCTATGAATCCGGTGTTCATCTTGCTGTGCTAATGAGGTATGGCAACTTGGACCGATGCATATATGTGCCTGGTCCTGCGTTGTAGCTGACTGACTGTCAGTAGAGGTATGGTAGATGAAATTGATCCAAGTATGGCAAAAAGCTGAGCTGGTTATAGAAATATGAACCACCTTTAGCTCTATCTTGATGTTAGTTTTGGTTGAACGATGCGTTAGTAACAGAAGTTGTGTTCCTTTTCTATTTTTCTTGAGCTAAAGATGTTCCATAACTTTATGTGTCTGATCATCGTTGTCTTCAGTGGATTGCTGACATCCATTGGTAGCACCATATTAGTAATGGTGAGGTCCATTGGTGTGTATTTGAGCACAGCAACGATGATTCAGTTAGTGTCATCATCTTGAAACACTGACTCTGTTGGCTAGGACATCTTTCAACAATTTTATCCCAACAGCTTTCACATCACTCATTATTTGGTGATCTCGAGTTGGAAACGCTGAGAAGTGAGCTTGTGGTATATGGCTATGTTGACGGGGACAACTGTATTTGATTGGTATCTGTCAGTCTGCCATGACTTCTGGCTGGGGCCTTAGATATTGTGCAACAACCTGGTTTGAGACATCATCATACATGGTTCAAGATAGGAGCTCAGGATAATCCTGTTGAAATCATTCATTACATTTTTTTAAAAGTTAGGTAAATGTTCTTAACTGAAAGATATGTTTCTTGGGTATATTCTTACGTTAACTGTAAGAACCGACCTTGTCCATTTATTTATATATTGTATAACCGTACCTTCTATTTTTCTATGATGTTATCATTTTATTTGTGTGATGCATTTTTTCAAATGCTCTGTTGCACCAGAATTTACACTTATAATGCAGAAAGCGTTTGGTTACTATTCATGAAATATTTCCCATTTCAGTTCCTATGTACCACCGTCGTGTGCTTAGCTAGTTTCATATTACTTACGTTCTCAACTAATAGATCATTGATGTGTTGATCCTAGTAGTGAAATGTGCCAACTAAGGAGTCGTGGTCTATTTTTAACTTTTTTATTTGGAGTGAATACTTTTTACAGACTAGATAATTTTCTTATGACTCTTCACTCTAAAGCTGTATTTGAATTACTTTTAGAAAAAAGAAGAAAAATATCTACCGATTTGGCATTTTTCTGAGAAACCCCCTTGGAACGTTGCTAACCGCATATCCGAATTCCCATATCCGAATATAACTTGGTGCGTTATTCATCCGAATGGTCGCAAAGAAGCACGAAAGTTGCAACCTATGCTACCTGAAGACCAATTGATTTTTAAAGGTGATCGTGTCCAAATACTGTGTGGCCCGGATAAAGGAAGAGTAAGTTTCTTTCTCACTGTTAACTTCATTCAAACAAAATAAAATGTTGTTTGGATTGCTACTTATGATTTAAAGAAACAGGCACGTGTAAAATCTGTTAATCGTAAACCATTACTGTATTCTGATAACAGGATTCTTATTAACTGGGTTTTAGAAATTTACTAAGACTCAAAACTAATATTGTTAACATCCAATATATTTCCCTAATTTACTCCTGGAATATTTTTTACGTTATGCTCAAGAATAAAAACAACCTAATTATTCATAGCTTTCTTCAAATTTTGGTTGGAATGCATCTAAAGGCAAAATAATTGATAATCATTATGATATAGAGTCATGTTTATTTTCTTGAACTCTCACTCGTATTAGTCCCATTGAAATCCATTTTTATCCAAGATATTTTGACGTTAATAAAATATTTCACATGTAAGGCACATTTTTGCCACCAGTCCTTTAGCTCTTTTGGTAAACCTATGATATTGCTTTTAAATCTTTTTAAAATTTATATATGTGAAGTATACTTGTTGATTGACCTATACACGTTGATTGTTGAACGCTTTTAACATTGTCAATAGTCTCTGAATTACTTGTAAATTGAAGTTGTTTTAATTTCAAAAGTCTTTGTTGTACAAATCCGAACTGTTCTACAATAATCAATTTTCAGGTAATCATTAAGTAATTGTGTTGGTTGCAGTAGCTTTCTTCCATTTGTGCAGTAATCGACTTTTTAAAATGTATATGCTCAAAGGTTATCCATCTTGTTTTTACCTAATTTTGATTGTAGAGAAATATCATCCTCACTCACTGCTATGTACCACAGTTTACTGTTATTTCGACAGTGATTATTTTTGGTACTGTTGTAGTGAAGGAGAACACAGGTGAGGACAACCAAATTGTATTAAGCACAAAATTAGAGTTACATGGTAAAATAGAAAAAACATATAGTAAATCGTTAATTTCCAAAATATCATTCCATCATATCAAACCGAACTGTTGCTGTTGCAAACATCAATCTATTGTCTCACATTTCATTGTTCATGCGATTTCATACAAATTCCATTGTGTTCTCGCTCTTCCTTTCTTGATCTTCCCCATCTTCTGCCGCCAGACATTACATTCTTTTAACTCACGTTATCTACTACTTATATCAATATAAGTAGCACGCACCACACTTGATATTTTCTCGGTATGCTTACAATGCGCTAGTTATGTTATTTTAAGGATAAAATTAGAATTTTTCTCCTGATAAAATGGAATCAGATTGATGGAGACACTAAGTACTGAAGTTCACTACATCTATCACATCGAAATTATTTGAATGCCAGTATTGTGGTTTGACTTATTTGTTAATTAACAGTTATAAATTGGCTTATGTGTGAAAGAGTACCTGATTAGTGAGAAACATAGTATATTTTAAAACGCGGTTTCTGAAACTAACTTAAATTTCTTCACATGCTATTCACATTAAACGTACCGTTACTGAAAGTTGTCTAGCTCAGAAAACTAACAGGATTTGACTGATATGACTGATATTCTATCCTTGAAAACCTCAGTTGTGTCCTTTGTGTTAGCATTAATGAAACTCACTGATTTAGTACTATATTGGACATCATTTTCATGAATTCGTTCCTTATTTTCGGTTACTATAATTCCTCTCTCTATTGATTCTTTGATTTTATAATCCTCTTGTAAACATATGTTAACAATTTTATCCAGACTACCTGAAAATTTATCGCACTCATTATTGGTTCTCTTGATTGGATTTAACTTTGAGAAGTTGCGATTTCTGTTTTATAATCAAATCACATCGACTTCTCTTGACGTTCTGGATTTACATTAATTAACTTTCGTTTGATCACATTTTAAAACATTCAGTGATTTTTTATACTGAAATTTATCGGTATTAGAAATTCGTAATAGAGTGATGGTAATTCTGCAATATTTAAGCTCTGCTTTGAGCTATATAATTTTGTTTCAATGAATTGTGGTGTTTTCATCATTATTATACTATAATGATGGGGCAGAATAAGTATAACTTACTGGAATCTAGTCTTTGTTTATTAAAGCTGTTTTTAAACAAAAATATATTGGAAAAACTCGTTAGAGAAGAAGGAATTCAGTAATGGTATAGTAGATTAGTATTGTAATGATTTGTTGAGTTTTAATTTCGTGGATTCCAGTCAGTAGTATAGCGCTCATTTCTATCCCACTCTCGATCAGTTTGTGTTCCCAAATAAACAGTTATTATTTCGTTGTTCTTGTATCTTTATTTTAACAAATTGAAATCCTATTTAATTGTTGTTTTACGTCATCTTATGTTCACATCATCTCCATTTTTTTTTTTCAGGTTGGTATTGTTTCTTCAGTCTTAAAAATCAGACGCTTGGTCTATGTGGATGGACTTAATTATCGTTTAACAGCTCTTAAAAAATATGATTCTTTAAAAAGAAGCGAGGACCCGTTAGATATTGATACCCAGGTGACTCTCGTTCTGTTGAATTATTTATCCTTTAATTTATTTATTTGAACACATAAAGATTAATATAATGGGGCACCGAATAAATATGCACCACACAATAACAATGAGGTTGTGAAGAGATAGAGAAAGTAAAGTGCGTATAATGAGAAAAGAACAACTACGAACAGAAATTAGTGTATGAGAGTGAAATAATAATAATAATAATAATAATAATAATAATAATAATAATAATAATAATAATAATGGGAAAAACAGTTCAGTTAGCATAAATATAATCAGAAAGGATTCTTTCAGTTAAAGAAGTTACATCCATTTTTACGAAGAAAGTAGAAGTTATAGAAGGGTCTTCACTGCCTTCTACTCTGATCACGTCTCTAGCCACTGTATTGTACCATCTCTAGGACCCCAATAAGGAAGTCCTGACGTACCAACAGAAGCCAGCCACTGACCAACTCTCCGCTTTTTCCAACCAGTCCCAGAGTCAGCAAATAATGCACGTCGTGGAATTCTCTGACCGACATTCGTAGAACATGTCCAAGCCACCGAAGTCGATTTTTCAAGATAGTGACACCAATTGAATTATCGTCGCTGGGCCGGAACATGCGATATCCAACCTCTGCATTACTAACATGGTGTTGCCACTGGATGCCTCTACTAATTCTATCTACTCACTACTCAGGGTGAGTGCAGGGTCAGTGCCCTGCCGGTCTTGTAAAAGCTCTTTGCACTTCGAAGGTACGAAGCACATACCATACCTACGGACATTGATTGCCAACTGATTAAGTGCTGATTGCATGGTTTGAGTATCATCGCACAGTAAAATAATATCATTCGCATACTCAAGGTCAAAGTTTTCCTGTATGCAACAGATTCGCACCACCACTGCCTACTTCCATCAGGGCAAAGTTGAAGAGGAATAGTAAGATTGGGCAACGCTGCCTAACCCCACTGTATGAATGGGACTATGGAGAGAAATGGTTGTGTGGCTCCACTTTACCTGAGATCTTTGTGTGTAGAGCTTTCAGGATAATCAATTTCTTAGGCCCACTATTCTTCAATAGGCAATCCCAGGGAACAGTCCTGTCCAACGAATCGAATGCAGCCATGATGTCAAGAAACATTAGGGTTGTTGGTGTGTGATAATTATGACGGTGTTCTACCATTCGGCGGTGGGTGAAGATGTGGTCAATACATCTTTGACCAGAACGAAAACCAGCCTGTTGCTTGCGAGTCAACCCCTCCCGGGTATCGAGCAATCTATCAGGTATGACTAAATCAAATAGTTTGGACGCAACTAAAAGTAGAATTATCCCTCGACAGTGACAATTTTAGATTCATTCCAGGGTGTTGGGACACTCAAACTACCAGGCCTTTGTAACCAAATCAGTCACTTCCTTAACCGAAAGGTCAGCACAATCTTTAAAAATGGCCAGAGGCAAATCATCTGAACCTGGTGATTTGTGGCACTTCAGGGTTTGGAGTTCCTTGCGGACTTCCATCTCGTGAGGTCGATTAGTGATCACAGACCATGAAGGGTAGGACAGCCTGATCTACGCTGTCGGGACCAGTGGAATTGCTCCTCGAAAAGCTCTGCCCATCGTTCAAGACGTCGGTGGATCTTATTGATTGGCATTCCATCATCTTCGTAGATTGTTTCACTCACACCAGACTCCTTGGTGCCAGTGACTCAGATGAGTTGAAAAGCTTCCGGCACATACCGGAAACAGTTGCTGTTTTCATCTCATTAGCACGCTCTGAACACCAGGCTTCTCGGTCCTTATGCAAGCTTTCCACACTTTCACTACGTTTGTCGTCGAATTCGCGGTCATTTGGAGTAGACCGACGTGTTTCGTCCATTTGTAACGCGCCTATTGAAATCCAGCGCTTATAGGTGGGACGTTTCGTGAAGCCGTAAGTGACTCTACTCACCATTTTCATAACATCATGCAATTGCAGCCAATATTTATCTAAACTTTTCGGTGTGCTATAGCTAGTCTAGAATCTAGCTCGGTTTAGTTGCAACAGTTGCTGCAAACAATTGGCTGACATCGATCAATTTAGGACGATGAATTTGTTGGCCGCTGAAAAGTAAAATAAGATTAGCACAAACAAGGACATGATTAGAGTCCAGAAAGGTACTCCAAAGGGAGCGATAGTCTTGTACACAACCACGCCAGCTGTAGCTCATGGCGATGTAATCGATCTAAGTCCAAGTTTGAGGTGCATAAAGAGGACGTCAAGGAGCACATCGTCCCTCATTGTGCCGGTAGTTAGTGCTAACCAGAAACAGGCTGCAGTCTGCGCAAAGTTGCAGTAGACTGTCACCATTACCTGACCTGCGACTTTTAAGTGCCTAATGCCCACTCAAACAATTTTCCTCTGTGGTTAGACGTCCGACCTGAGCATTGAAGTCTTCAGCTAGTAACACAATATCTGTCGGATTCCCTTTCTGTAGAAAAACAGTTAAGTGGTAGTAAAACTCACTTGATAACAACCGGGTCGCAACCTGTCGGAGTGTAAGTGGAGATCATTAAAAAACATCGTTTTTCACTTTAATGGGGCTTTTTTAATCTAACAGCACATAATGGATTTAATGGAGATCCAGCCGGTCAGTGCTACCTCAGCCCTAGCGCTTAGTGCGACACCAACGCCAGAAAAACCAGCCGAAGATGCCAGTGGGTCCCCGAATGTGCGCACGTGAAACAAGCCTTTCGAAGCGACTGATGGAAATTTGTATTACTCCACTAAAGTCTTCAATATGGGTTTCAGACAGACAACAGACGTCGATGTTGTATTTCTCTAAGGTCATAGACAACCGTATCTGTTGTCCGATATGTATTAGTATGTGAACGTTGAAGGATATGTGGTTTCAGAAAGACTGTTTCAATATTCATAGTCGTTGGTAGCATTCAACTTTCGACAAGTCAATGACTTGATTTCATTTAGACAGAGCATGTTTCCCACCATAGGCGAGCTTCTGCAGAAGCTGAAGACAGAAGAATACACAAAATGAGGATTAAATGGAGCACATAAGTGACGCAGTATAAAAGGAACAAAAACAAGTGTTTTCATTTGATTGTGAATATTACTTGCCCGAATGAGCACTGAAGCAAGAGTTATTTTTTCAGTAGTAGTTATCACTGATTTTTGTGAGGGCTGAGATACTGCCCGAATGCAAAGATCGATGTAGGTGGTTTTCTTAGGAGGCCACACCTGGAGCCTTCGACCTAAAGGTCTGTTCCACCAGGTAATGGAGAAACGTTAGGAGATGCCATCCCATGGTAGCCGGTGACTAACAATAGGTTCACACACCATTTGTCCCCTTAGGGTCCTGGAGCCCATGTACACCATTGGTTTAGAATCAGCGTTTTCCAACTACCCTAGATGGATCTTCCATATCCACTAACCCGTTTAAATCGCCGGACATTCGCTTTTCGTCCCCTCAATCTCGTAAACAACACCGCCACCTCGATAAGGTAGTGAGTAGGACTTTCCTGGCAGTGGCCGTATACGCGTAGTCATGCGAGAGCATTTTGAGAGGAAGAGTTGGTTCTCCTCACCCTCAGCCGTACCAGGGCATTTGGGGCTAATAATTACTGTGAATGATTGTATAGTGTTGTTTCGACAGGTTTTCCAACTTTTCCCATATTATCCCTGTTTTGTACATCAAAAGTCTGAAAGTTTCTTACTGTGCTGCATTATGCGTCATTTTTTCCTTGCGTTTTCTAATCATAAAATGGCTGGAATTTTGTTTTTGCAATTCCCATTTTACATTTTCGGAAGTACACCGTTAAGTGGATTGTTACCCTTTCATGGTTTCATTACTTCTGTCACTTGACATATTTTCCTTTAGTTTTATTTTGTCTGAGCCATATTTTAATTCCCTTCATTTATCAAAATTTAGTGCTTAAGTAGACGTGAAGACCTTTCAGTGATTGACAGAAATTACCTTACATGTATCTGTAAATATTGCGGTAGTAACTGGTTGTAATCAAATCTTCACACTTGATTATAGTATATTTGATTGGAGTTTAAGTATTCTTGAAAAAGACTAAAATTGTCTTTGAAATTTCCACCTATCAGTCAAATGCATAATCAAATTTTCTGTACACTGTTGACTTATCATAACATGTATGCATTTATGTAGGTAACGTTTAATTTTTCAGTACATTGAGGTTTGTCTTATTGAATTAAATGTTCTTTGCATTCTCCGCATAGTCTGTTTTGATTATTAACCTTTTAATTAACTTTAGGTTGCTCTTTTGGATCCATCAAATAATGAACCTTGCAAGTGCTCCTGGCGGTACACTGAAGAGGGAAATCGGGTCCGTGTTTCCCTACAAACAGGTCATGTAATCCCTCTACCAGCTGCAGCCAGACATTTAGATGACTTAACCGATCCTAAAACAGCTGTTGTCAGTTCAAAAGATACTTGTGAACCAGTTGTTTGTAATGTATCCCTCAAGTCTCTCACTTCGACATCAGATGTCAGTTTCGAAAAGAGTTTGCTCAAGGATTTAAAGTTAAAGGACGATTGTCTTAAGCAAACTCCTACATATTGGTATTGATTTCCGTCAATTAAAGACCATGTTTAGTCTCTCCGTTTATCCAATTTTTGCCTTCTTTTAAAGAGCTTTCAATTGAGTTATTTGATTTTTAATAAGTTCAGCGGAATCTTTCATTTTTATTTGGAAATCCAAAGTTGTATCTCCTTTATATTATATAAGTGAACCATAACTTGGAAAATATCAGACACTATTAAAGAGAATACGAAGTGGGCTTCATCAGTACTTGGCATAAACTGTTATTAAAACCAATCAATCACTTATGTGGGCAGTATGACTTTCATGTATACAGCATGTTTATCAGAGAATAAAAGATGCTATTAACTGATACTAGATTATTTGGATTGATGAATTTCATGTACCTAACAAGGTAGTACGTCGAAGTAACTAGAAGTGCTATTAATTGCTGATAATTTCTTTCACCGATCGAAAATCACGTAAATCCGAGAAATATATTTGGATAGTGATTTGGAAGACTAAACATGATGGCTCAAAGAGAATTCGAAGCTATGAAATTTTATGGTTATCAAAATGTTGAAAACCCTGAGGATTGAGCACGTCTACTGCGTAGATGTGCCATTATGTATTTGGATTTGAGTTTGTAAGTAGACACTAAATCTTTCCTAGAAAATGTGAGAAATCGTCCTTTCCCACATTCTCAGCGTGAGCAGATAATTTTATTGTCACGATGGAAGATAGGGATGTTGGGCCGTAACTTGCTAATATTTTCTAAAATGTGATGTTACCAATTAGTTGGTGATCATAGCTGCTTATGGTTATTTAGTAAACAACGACCAATAACTAACACGGGAGAATTAAACTCGGCGGTTGCATTAGTTAACACTCAATTTATTTCTTCAGAGTGATCCTAGCAGTTCCAGTTCTGCTTTCCCCGCGGACGTACCAATAGTAAGTTTAAATTTTACATTCAAAATGAGTGGGATCAAAAGTATCATCTTCAATTGAATGCAAACCTAACTTAAATTGTGTTCATAAGTATATTTTAGTCTAATTAGGGGTTGTGGAAATAGTACCAAGGAGACGTCTTGAGTCTTGTGAAATACAGTGACAAATGTTCGGCCACGCAGCGTGTGAGGTAGCTAACAGAAGAAAAAAAACGGATAAAATCACACAATTCCGTCAATTAATTGAAAATAGACGTCCTCGGTACTCTAGATGTTAAGCACTACCAAACAGTTCCGAGAACTTCACGTCTGACCTGTATGTGGTTGTGGATGCAGACTTCTAAGGGTTCACATCTTGGGATGTAAGAGCGACCCGGATACTCCTGGTTCCCAATGTTTTTTTGGTTCGTAATCTGAAAGCATAGTTGTGTTTACTAATAGGCTAGTACTTAATTTACATCACACTAAGAAAAGACTAAAGTTTTTTAACATGCTTATATTTATGTGGCTGTTTCATCAGGAAGGACTGCGAGAAATCGATATGTTATTGTTATACGCGCGATAAAAAAACTAAGGCTTTTATTGAACTTATGTGGTGCTACTAACGAGGCGGTTTGTGTTGTGGTTCGTATCTAGCGAGGAGGAAATCATGCAGAGTAGTGTGATCAAGGGAAGATAGAACGAAGAAAAGAAGTGGGCCGTCAGTGAGTGCACAGTGCTAAACTTGTGTCCTATCATCACTTAACCTAATGATACCGCCAATTATAGAATAGTGACTTATCGGTCTCGCCACTGACACAAATCTCTACGAGCAGTCTAGGGTCCCCGTGTCTATCTGCTTGTTGGGGCATTAGCACCAATCTCAGACTCCGCCATATGAATCATGTACTTCAAACATACTGGGTTTATATACAAACCCAACAGACTATATATATATGCACACTTGATGAAAGCGAACAGTCAGTGGGAACACGAGTATGAATAAAATTAGTGATCCAAACAGAGAAAAGTTCTTGATGAGTTACAACCAACAGTTTAAATTATTTTTGCATTTCACACCTCAAGCTAATAACTCCGTGCATCTTTTGAGCTGATTTCCGATAACATCAATCCTGGGTGAATTTTTCAGGAAAATCATCGAGCATTTTCGGTCAATTGTGTAGGGAAATTGCAGGACTAAGCATATTTCACACTCACAAAACGTTTGGTCGATGAGGTTACGTCGCACAGTTGGCAATGAACTTTATATATTTAGAGCTTATTATGACAGCTTCAGTCTTCGCTTTACATGATCGTAATGATAAAATGTTGAACTCCATACACAAGTAATGACTTTGCTTTAGTGTATAACTGGTATATCAGGCAAATGAGTCTTCCCATATAGACCGACCTACTTTATGGAACTAAGTTTCGGTTATTTATTTTACGAAATGTGTACATATGAAGAGTCTCGAACTTGGTGGACTGCCACTCGTCAGGGTTTTACAGAAGAATGACAAAAATGAAAGGTCGATTTCGCAAATAGACTGTTTGGCCGTGTAGGAAGCAATGGAAAGAACATCCTGTTATACAACAGACTCAGTAATCACTGTTGTATTCTGTAGCGTTAAATAAATCCCGAAAATCGCTAGCTGTGTGAGTCTTCGATATTCGATGTTGACCGCGTTTGTTTTGATGGACTCACCAGATCACGAGTTGATTCGCTTTCTCCGCTATTACTACGACCACTCACAAGCTAAGATCAGTCACTTCTCCATTTATTGATAGCATATCAAATATACGTTTCAACTATAGAGGTGTTACTGGTTGAGTTGCTGTAAAATATGAATATGAATAATTTTGGCATCTTTATATCTGCTGAACTCCGTCATTTGACTGCTTTTGCAGTTACAGTTATTGTGCTCCTATTGGGGCTGTTGAAATTATGTTATCATTTATTCTAATTGATTGGCATTTAAAAACTTGGCATCTGTACATTGATTAAAGGTGCTTAAAAGCTTGTGATAGGTATGTTGTTGTCTGGTATCTTACAGTGAAATGGCTGATTCCATACCTCATTGATTCCGCCGACTTTTGCAAGATCTTCCAAAGTCACTGCAAATTGATCTTGGATGCTATGAGAATTTTCAACTTCAATTTGTGGACGCTTTCGTCCACCATCACAGAGAGTTGGAGAATATCCGCCTAGCACTTCTGAAATTAGAACGTGCAAGTCAAAATAACTGTATTTACGTTGGACTGCCTGAAATATATGATCAGTAGCTATGGACCGTCTCAGGCTATCTTTTAAAGCCGTACCGTAGTAAACTAATCATTGTTGGTGACTTTTGGTCGAATAAAACCATCCAATCTCGACCTAATGTCTACAGATGTCATAATGGAACTAAGGGAAATGTGGACATAAGAATTAATTATCCCGATATTCAACAACATTTTTACTGTCAAACTAATGGCTATCATTTTGGACAAACATGCTAGTTGCATTGTTACACAAGTAGTAGGACAATGGGACAGTAGGTTGTGGCAAGTATGACGTAAGTTTTTACCAATGCATTAGATGTATGATATTTCTTGTAGGTCATAACTACTTAGTGAGCGACGTCACACTGCATAGCCAACTCCAGGGAGTTCACAATTTCGAGCTGAGTCCGACCGAAACACTCCTGAAGGATATGATTATAATGTTCCAATTAGATTCCACGTTCATGTTTTAATTAAATGTAGTCAAAATTCACTTTTTGTGGAAGGATCCAGCAAGCAAATGATTTAATTATATTGGTAATTCCACCTTAGATTCCAGCGACCAGGCAATATTATGGTGCAACTAGCACATGCTTCGCGTTTTGAGTAGGAAATATCGTTCAACGTGTGAAGTCTCCGTCGGAAAGAAGACGAAGTGTCGCCTGTTTTTTTGCATTTATAGTTGCAAAAAGCAGATTGCATTTACGACTTCATAATAATTTCTAATGGCTTCTTCGCCAAGTTCTCCTAATTTTTACCGCACGTGTTATATTAAGTTATCCTACCGTGTGCAAATGATGGGAAATGAAGTATGTTATGGAGCTAGACACCTTGTCTACAATTCGCACGTTTTGAAGCATATTGTCGATGTACTTTAACATGACTTCTCAGTCCATTGTCTGCTTACTTTTTGAATCTTACATGAGAAAATTTAGCCTATTGGTTCGTCGTGGATTTAAGGTTTACATCCGCTTTGAACTTAAATTCGTACTATAGATCACATGATAGATAATTTCTGTATTTACGTCGTCATGATAAACTGTCGATGAAGCAACCTTGAAATTTTGGTGATCCTATATATTACTGTATGTAGTCCTTCAAGAATATCTTGTCTTCATGTTAAGCACTTAAATATCTAGCTTTTAGTATGGTGCTTATCAATATCTGAACCTCAAGTAAAACAACAGTCAGACAACGTTATTTCAGAGATCGCCTCCCAAATAAGCAGAACTGTGTTCAAAATATATAGAGACGATAGTTGTGTAGCCCTGAAAATACCACATGAGACGAGGGTATACACGGAATGTGTTTTATTCAGCAGAGAATCAATAATTAGGCTATCACATTTACGAGTACAGTCGACCAGACTCAAAAATGAGGGTAACATTTTTTGATTGCCTATTTAACACGTCTAAATATGCCACAGATATTCAGAATTCGACAACGCCACTACATGTAACAAATTTATAATCAGCTTATACCAACCCAGTCAAAACATAATCTGAATAGTTTGGTGTGAGTTGAGCGTCAACGTCAAAGTCATACAAAACCGTTTATTTTGGGGACTTTTTAATAGCACACTTCCATAGATGAATGTTCATATATATATGTATTTGTGGGTACCCCACATCCCTTGGACCATACCGGAGGGGCCGAGAAATTCACCACCATGGTTCAGTAGTGAGGTTCGCATTCTTATCCGTAACAGAAGAAAAATGTGTGATAGGTATAGATTACTGGGGACTGGTGAGACAAAATCTCAGTATCGAAAAGCTCGGAGTACCTGTGCCTCGACCTTCCGTAAGTCTAGAAGGTTGTACGAAGAGAAAATTGTCAAGGAACCCATAGAATGTATTA